GCTGACCGGAGCGAGAGCTTTCTACTTTCCAGCATGACCTTTCCTCCCAGACCGATCAAGCCGCTGTAACCGGCGTTGTATCTGTTGCATATGGACTCGCTCGCCCTACATATCTGTTCCAAGTTGACAGCCTCATAAACGTAGGGAAACTGTTCGCAATATGCAAAGATAATCGGGAAGTAAACGGCGATGTAAGCGAGGCGTTTATGTAATTTCGACTCAAATAATAGCGATTTTGGGTTCTAAAGAGTATTTTAGTGTGATAAAACGGTTCTTAATTCTTTTCTTGATATTCAATTTCATTACCTACATTTCTTCTCTCTTGTCAGAAATGTGTAATAAAGGTCTCGGTTAAATTGATGGGTGTGGTACCAAAAGTATTAGCAATTTATACTTTCTAATGAAAGTAATCTTTACATTTCTACATCTACTTGTACTGTAACAAACAATATATTTGCGAGATGAATCGGCTCAGGATTCCGTCAGTATTTAAAATAGAATCTTAAATCGTTAAAAAATCAAGCTAATCGTATTCCCAGGATACAGCCACTATCGTAAAAAGAAGCAGTAAAATTTCGTTAGACGTGCAGACTCTTCTTTCCGATGGATTCGTAATTCACATGGTGGAGAAAGCGTCTCATTATCTGCTTCTTTCGCTGGGCAAATCCTCAATTTCCCGGTCGATAGCTCAACAGATGAGTCAAGTCGGGTCAATGCACTGCCTCTGATCAAGAAAGTTTCTTGTAAGACCGCAAGAAATTAAAAAAAAAAAACATTTAAAAAGGTTTCATCAGCTTAAATCATATTACAAATGTAGGATAAATGTGGAAAATGCGAATCAATGTAAGGATGACAGAAATTGTAGTTTTATAACACTTTTAAATTAGGAGGAAAATTAATGTTTTAAAAATTCGTGAAATGAAGTACAAATATCGTTGTATTAATATTCCAATTATTTGAAGCAAGAAATATCTTAATTAGGAAACTTGAACTTTTACCTCACAATCTTTGTTTATATCTTTAGAAGATGTCAGCTAATATTCAAGCTATTTTTATCCGAAAGCGACACTTCTTGTTTAAAGAATGAGCTTCAAAAGGTTAGAAAGCACCGCGCTTTTTAATGAAATATTTTTCACGCGTGGGAAAAAATTGGGTTGTACGAACCAGTTCTTGGGAGTGAGGAGAAAACAGGATGAATGAATAGACAATATTTTAAATAGATTGTACAATTCATTATTTCATTAATCTAGTATAAATTGCTCAAACGGGCATTTCGATTTAGTAGTATCTTCCGTAAATGGTATTTTTTCACAGAACCGATTGATTTTTCAATTAATCACGTAAAAATTCCTTCTTTTTGCGCACACTTGGCCCAGTGACCAGAGAGACATTTTGTATTGAATTGAATTGTATTGTATTGAATCATGATTGATTTCTATTAGTCAGGCACATCTAGCGATTGTAATAGAATTTGAATGATTGTCGGCCGAAAAGCGATTGTCGGTCACATCCAGCGTACTATAATACAATTTGAGGCGAAAGAACGGTGGTGACACTTTTGATTCAGTATCCTTTTGGGACGGGACGTACAGCCCGATTTCGCAGAACAATGACGCAAAGAATCGCTCTTGTGGCAAGGAAAATTAATCTACGTTTAAATCAAAAGCAGATTATTTTATTAAATGCCTGTGATTAGCATCTAACGTTCGTGACTTCACTGCTGTGTAAAAAAACATATTTGATGTTAATAGTAATATCCAGATAAAAATTAGAACATACATGTGTTCTACTAAACAAAGGGATGAACATCTAAACAGTTTCATGGAAGAAATTACCAGAGATCGTACGTGATGTCTCGTCAAAGTTTCCGAAAATTCAACGTAATCCGATGTAACCAACATGAAGATGAAATTCACATATTGAGATTTTCTAAGTGATGCAATTTCTAGTGAATTACTTGAGGCCGAGTGTAGTTACGTGCATGAAGTGTGCACCATTTACTTTGTAGAACGAACCTTTTCTCTTTTCAAGTCTGCAATGAGACGCAGTAGGAAGTGAATTGTTAAGTGCATTTTTCGAAAAGAAGTATTTTGTTTTGAATGCTAATATTCTAGAGAATATTTAAAAAGTTGAAAAATTGTTCTTACACTTTCCATGCCTTTTTAAGAACTTTGCTCAAGTTTAGAAAGAAAAAAATTAGAAATATAGTATAATAAATTAATAATATACATGTTATGCATTGAAATTATTGTTTCGTCTGATACTAATATGATTTGAAACAATGATAAAATTTAAAGTGATCTAAATAGACTTTTTAAAAATCCTAAAGTAACATTTATAAAATCCTACACTCCGGCCCTTACTTATAACTATGAAATGATTAACTAAGTAAATACTGTCATAGTCAACTGTCCTACGTTGATCCCTGCCAAGAAATAATTAGAAGACTTGCGATCACCGGCCTTTAAACCGAAGACACACGAGAGCCACATAAATTAGCAACCAAAAATCTATTTTATTCACTATTAAAATGTAGTTTTTGAAACATTTTTTGGTTCGATGTAGCGTACAAAAAGTTAAGGTATAAATTGTCATATCTGTCTATTCATATTTCTTAGAAAATAGGTTTCAATATAATTGTTTACACGAAACGAGCTGCCATAACTTAGGAATGAATTATCACTAGTATTTGTGGTCTCTTCATGAATCTATTTTGAACAAAGGTACTGCTCCTGCATCATTTAAAGACAGATTCCCGAAATATGATTTAGCATTATTCACATTAGACCGCTTGTTTTTATGAATTTAGTGCAATAAAACTTGCTCAATACGGAATCTCAAGGGACCAACATCTTTTATCCGTATTAGACAAGATTCCGCATTAAGCAACGGAATTCTACGGAATTTACGTTTGCCAGGACGGCGATTTGTGTTCACACTGGTAAGATTTCCGCATTATACAGGTTCCATTGAGCAAGTTTTCCTGAAGTTTGATTAAACATTCGAAGAGGACACAGTGAGGCTGTATTTGGTCACCGACTTGCCATTCTACCTCAAATGTCCAACCTGTCCACTAAACCTCCGAGCGACTGCAGGAGGTCGGCGACTCACGCAACAGCCGCGGACGGGCGGGCGGCGGGCGGGCGGGCGGGCGGGCGGGGGGCGGCGGGCGGCGCCTGTGGGCGGCCTCATCGAAGCCCTCGCAAGCGAGCTCGCCGCATTGGGCAAGTTTCCTCGGCAGCCTCTGGGGTGGCCAGTCGCGATTTCTCTAATTGTGTGCGTTGCTGCCCGATAGCCCGCCCGATGCTTGCCTAACGCTTCCGGCGCGGCGCCGCTGTCTCCGGCGGAACGCCCCCGCCTCCGCCCCCGCGACCTAGACCTCGACAGCCAGCGCGACGGGCCCGCCATGTAGGCAGCGGGGCGTATTGGCGCGGACGAGTTGTGCGGAATGACAATGCCTTACAGCAGTGGATAGCGTGCGGTATGGTAGCGTGTAGTAATGCGACATCGGTAACAAAACATCGATGGTCAAAAGTAATACTTCGATGTTAAAAATACATCGACTAAACACCGTCGATGCTTTCAGACTGGATTAGTAACCTCCAACATTAAATTCGGGTGCATGGAAATTTAATTTGACAGTGTTCGTGTTTATCAATTCGGCAAATAAGGATACGAGAAGGCGCAGATCCATTTTCCTATCTCAGTGTAGGAAATTAATATGAAGAAAGAGGAAATGCTAAGGCATGGAAGTCATCTCGGGCGAGAGAGTTTGGTCAATGAAGGTAGTGCAAACAGATTTCCTATTGGTTGCAACACATGAGTAACAGTGATACTATCCGTTATTTCATATTTTAACATTTACAGTATTGAAGATTGAAAGTCATACTTTTTTACCATTTCCGAGAATAGATTGATGTAATATTTAAAGACATTATGCAACTGAAAAAATACTCCTAAGAAGTCAAATGTATCTGATGGTTATACGAAAAATACCTTGTACGAAGTTGACAGACCCATATGTTTCACAATTCTTTTATGTACTTGTCACTGTAAACAATGCAAGGTATTTATTTTTAGGAGGTAAATATTGCAAACGAGGTTGAACTAGTGGTGGTACAACAGCACATACATATTACCTTGGTGTATGAAAAATCAATACAAACTCTACGATAACCGCCGAATGTGAGTGTTGCATGACTTTGTCGAAGACATTTTTGCGTCTATGGAAAAATCACAAACAACTTTTAAAACAATGTCCGAACGCAAGACGTGTAGATGAGTTTTTGAGCATGTTCTGACGTAGGACTTTGTTTCAAACGTTACACTTTCAATGCTGCTTCATATTACCTTCGTCTTACTTCTTTTACTGTTATATTTTGAAGATACCAGTAAAATTCTTGTACTTAAAAACACTTGTTATATTTCGTACGTTGAATTAATTCATGTGATAGCCTTTCTTATCTTTTTTGTTGTAATATTTTTTCGATTACCTGAATATTGGTACCACCATTCCTAGAAACCTTGTATATTGATTCAATAAGTAATGCATTAACTTTTTCATTCACCTGATAAAAAATTCCAACAATATTCAACAGTGTATAGTTTAATAAGATTGCCAATAAATTATACGAGACCAAAATATTGTGTGAATAACAAATAAAATAGGTCGTATTCTTAAAATAGAAAAAACGAGTTGCTTACATTTATGTGTGCTAACATAGTCAGATAGTTAAAAGTCAACTTTCAAGAATGTTCAAACGACCTACACCCTGAACCACACAGTTAAATAAATCACACAGGAGTAACCATAAATAATAAACATATTTCTCCGCCACAATGCCAAACCGGTAATTAATGAATAATTATTTTTAAGTCGTAGAAAATGAACGATAAATAAAAAAACGAATACCTATTATATGCGTGATGTGGGCTGTCCGGGTGACGCATATCAGTCTGGCCGCGGAAGCCTACGACTTCATGGAATACCTGTTATGTTTCAGGTTGACCAGAGCAAGCAACCGCAGCCCAGAAGAAGCGAACGCTTAACTGAAGATGACCATTTCGCCCTTCGTGGCGGTCGTCCTAGCGGCGCTGCTGGCCGCGGCGGCGGCGGGTCCCATCCCGGAGGCCCAGCCCGACGCTCAGCCTCAGCCCCAGCCTCAGCCTCAGCCCCAGCCGCAGGAGGAGGTGGTGCCCGCGGCCGCGGAGCCAGGCTTCGAATCCCTACAGGACCGCGAGCGGATAGTGCAGGTGAGTTCCGTTCATCGGCGAAACGAAACGAGAGAACTGAAGGCCGTACGTGATATGCGGTAGCTTAGCAATTGCTGAGTGAGAAACCAGCCACCGGGAAAATTAACTTAAATGAAGCACAATTCAGTAAAAAGGTAAATTGAAGGGCAGAGAGAAATAATGATCTGGGGCCAAAATATAAACTTTTCTAGGAGTGCGCTTGTAAAGTCTAAAACTTTAAGCATTTTAAAACTGCAATTAAAAGAACTGTTTTACTTACTGATTGGAACTAAAATGTTTTAAATGTGTTTGTTTAATATGTTCAAAAAGTTCGTACATCTGATATTTTTTAAATATCAAATACCTGAACTCACTACTGTCTTCTCCTCTACCCTCCAATTAGTTGCTATATGTGAAGAAACTGCCAAAAAGATGAGAAGATGCCGCAAAATATAATGTTTCTACATAGTAAAATATCGCAGATATCCTGTTAGATTTTCGATAACATAAATCAAAGGTAGAAGAGATCACGGCCCAAATCGATAATAGCCATTGCAGAAGCAGGACAAGAAGGGAAGAAAGATGAAGGAGATGAGATGAAAAAGTCTCATTCTTGTGTATTCTCTTATTAAGACAGGTCCATTGGCGCAAGTTCCAGGGATTTGAACACACGGACAAACAGTCCAGCGAAAACGTCTTTCTGAGAAGAACTAAGAACACCCTATAAGCACACCGTGTCTCGTGTCAGCATATCATTCGTGCACTCGCTATATGATATTCGACTACATCGAGTAACTTTCCGCTCATTTCCCAAACACCTGCACTTTGAGTTGCTTGTAGGCATTAGCTGAAGACCGTCAATATTGGTCTTGAACTGGGTCTTGTGTGCTGGACTTGTGTGCGGTCTTGTGTGCCTTGTGGTCGCAGCCACGTAAAAGGGAAAAGATCATTTACGAAATGAAGTAAATTGCACTGCCAATATATCTTTCCCTTTCGTCTGTAGTTTAATTTACCTATTATTTATATAGCAACCTCAGTCCATCATCCAGTATATTTTGACTTCCAACACCACCGAAAGGGTTCGATCCACGAACGGTCTCACTTATCAGTTGCATAGATTTGGAATCTGGAAAATTGCCCAATAATTTAATTTTGCAAGCGTGTGTACAGACTTATGTTACATGCTACACGTGTGACATGAGACATTGCTGATATTTCTGCCCATAAAATATCTACCGCTCCCAGGCAAATTTGAATTAGCCAATTAGCGAATTCCGGTTCTCCGAATTTGGCAGGTAGCGTGCTTCGTAACTGCATAGCGGCAGTATAGTTTGTCATGAAAGTGCAATTTTTATGTAGATCAGGTGTTTGAAAATGATTATAATTAACGTTGTCACCCAATTATTAGCTGCCTATGCATTTGTTGACAAAGATCTTCAAATTAGCAAGTAACGGCCAAGCTTCACCCTCGCGAGCGAAACCGATATCTTAATGCTCCAACTCAGTCGTGACAACATTACGCGGGCACCAATGAAGCAAGCGACAGGCAGTTGTAGTGTCGGCGGCGACGACAGGTTCTGCTTTTTTTTTGCGGCTTCAGATGAGGCGCGAGCGCGCGCGTTCACTTTCGTTGCCCAACGCGACCGCGTTTCGCCACGCGGAAGCCGCCCGGCCCGGCCCAGACCGCCCCGGCCCGACCCGGTCCCTGCACCGCCACGTGGGCGCAACGCGCCACGCACCTCTCACTGGAGATTGGAGATGGTGCACACGCGTTGCACCCGCAGCCTCTGCTCCACCCTGCGGTAGCAGCATCTTGCTCATTGATGGGAAGCTGTACTTCGATGAGAGTGGTCGATGACATTAGGTCGTTCTTACACGCCCTACCTTATAAAATGAATCTTTTTAATTAATTTGCGTACGTCCTTCTCAACAGGGACGGATTTAAGTAGTGCGGGGCCCCAAGCACGAAATTGTGTTGCCCCCCCTCCGAAAAAATAGCTCTATCTTTATTAAATAAAAAATGTATTTTAGTACAAGTACTTTCTGTACGGATACAAATGAAAACTGATAATTTTCTATAAAAATTTTTACTTGTGTTACACCTTTTTTCATTAAATACATAATTACAAAAAAAATTACATATTCAGTTATAGGTAAAGGAAATAAAGTATAGTTAATATTAGACTAATTTAACACGTAATAAATATTTTTTAAATGTTTTGAAATTGTACATTTTGTTACACAGAGTACTTGACTAACAATTATTTCACAGACAAAAAAATATGGTATGCGTATTTTTCCAAAACGCGAGGTCCCTGGTGAATGGGGGCCCCCAAGCAACTGCTTGTTTTGCTTGTAGGTAAATCCGGCCCTGCTTGTCAACGGGGTACAGAAATGTGACCTTCGAAATGTGTTTACTACTATTAGAAAGATTTATTTTAAAAGGCAGGTGGTATAACAATAGCCTAATGTCACTGACCACTATAGAACAAACGAAGTATTACTGAACCCTCGCGTTTACGTTGTACAAAAAGACGAACTTAAGGAAAGTTAAAACAAAAGTATAACGTGTGCACTATAAGGAAATTTGAACTCTCCTAAAATGTTTCATGACGTTCTGAAGTTAATCTCTAAGATTAATTTAATAATGAACGTTTACACACTTTGGGACAGTACAATCACTATTCACTGTGAATGGATTTAAGCAGGTTTCTAAAAAAAACTTGAAATATTTTATTTTTACCAAGATTCGGACATTATATTGCAGAGTATTTTTTGCAGGAAATCCTCGTATCCCCTTAATTTAAAAACGTTAATGCAGTACTTATAATTGTAATTAGTGATTCTTTTGTAAAGGGACACATGTTTCAAACAATTGCCTGGAATGCTGGGCGTTGAGTTACATAACGAAACTTTGCCTTGAAAGATAATCAATCTTCGTACTTTAAAAACGCTTACTCTCTTCGCTTCGCTAACTATAATCTCGCACTCCCTCATGCTTGCTCTCGTTAGACGCAACCAAACCACCTATTGAAAGAATGTCGGCGGATAAGCGTTCATTGTACCAATTTTATTATTTTGTTACAATTTAGTGTTAATACTATAAAACCGGTTAAAATTTGGCAGACGATAACACATTTGGATCATACTATCATTCATTTAAAACAGAAGTGAATAAATTTGATTGAGTAGGACGTTCAAATTTACTTCTAAGAGAAAACCTTCGTGTTTTAAATACTTAGGTACAACGAATGATGGATATTGTAGATAAGCGTATGAATAGTGCAGCGAGAAGTAAATTAATTTGAAAATGTACAAAGCCCGATTTGTATTTTATTAAACAATTTCACAACAAAGTTGCGCAAACTACATTATTATATTTTTCTTTACACATCCTTCAATATTTTGTATGTTCAATCGTGGCCGTACCATTTACAATACAAGCGGTTAGCGGCAAACATGGTCCAACACAAATATTGCTACACATCGCCTCTTATGATTAGCCTATAGAAACTTATGTTTATTCAGGAGGTGATAAACAAAACAGTGAAATTTTTTAAAATATATTGCGTTAATTCCTGCGTAACAAAGTACAGTTACAGGCTAAATTTTTAAAATCAGGAGTCAAACAATTTCATAGGTGACACCATGACAACATTGGAAATTTTCGATTAAATTTACAAGACGCGTTGAGATGAGGAGTCATCACACCACACTTAGTGGAAGTGGATTATCTGAGAAATTTAGGAATTCTCTTCTCATCTAGTGAAACTAATTCATAAGTAAATACATTCGTATAGTCGTACATTATTAAGGGTTGAATGCTTAGTGAGCACTGAAAATGAGTGTTCCTTAAGTCACCAATTCTTATTCACAAACAGCCCTTCTTTCTCATATAACTGGGTAGTGAGCAATCAGTTATTTCTTTATGGAAGATTGCCTGCTTCCATATATGTCTTCCATTCTGCCTCCTCGTAACGTTTTGGTTATGATGTTTGATTCCACGCCCAGAGATATGCAAATGGCGAACTGGGGAACTCCGAGTCAATGGCATTGATGACGTTTCGACCATCAAGTCATGGTCTTCATCTTTACTGCTCTGTTTGCTTCATTGCTGCGGGCCACTTCAGCCCTTATAAAGACCAAGACATGATAGTCGAAACGTCGGCGTCACCTATATGCTGCGATACTCGGACAGAATTCGTATCATTTTGTATTACGCAGGAAGCTCACTTAAGCAAAATTGATGTTCTAGATTTCGCAGAATATTTTCTGTCTCGTCTTCTTCTGCCTTTTCTATTTCGTTCTCTGCGCAACTCACCAATCGTGCCACAGGCAAACGTACTTCAGAAACACGAATATCCTTTACAGTGTACAATAACGGGCGATTTTGCAACACACATGTAAAAAATTCTGAGTGTGGGCATTGTGGCAGTACAACTCCGAAACAGGTGGTGAAAATGGTACGTTTACTTATTTTCAATAACTTAACGTAATTTCACGCTCTTAAAGATCGTCTATGAAATATGGACAGACTACTATAAAAACACTATTTTGTGGCTAATTTGTTTTGCTTAAAGAGTTCCTTATTTTTTAAGGGCTCTCTTACTCTTTAATAGTCGACTCTAGCCATAAATGAATTATCAGGAATCCGGTTCCGACGGAGTTATTAACGAGGTAAGTTTTTGTATTTATTGAAAAAAATGTGAACGTCACGTTTGCAATGATGTCGGACCAGTCGAACAGTAGAAATAGTCAACGAAATAGTCTTGGATTATGAAGCAAAAGCCACGATGTTCCTTCGTTTTGCTTTTGAAAACAAATGTAGCTTTTAATCTCTATCCTACTCCGCTCTTTTCCTTCATCTTTCTCCTTCTGTCATAACTGACACACAAGGCATTTTTTTCATATTTTGACTAATTTTAATGTAAAGTGTATTTTTAATCGCGTAGTATATATTCTCCTTGGAATGTATTGACATTGGTGATATTTTACTGCGGAAACTAAATAATGTGGTATTT